GGTAAGTAGGGGTTAGTGACCATGAACAACTAAATGACGATCTTAGGAATAGATCCAAAGTTTGGACTGTCCAATCTTAGGTCGAATTCCAAAATTTTAGAGACCGATTGATTTTAATAAATGTTAGGATAAACATCTTTTTATCTGAACTGTTTTTAAGCAAATTTTAACGATATATGTTAAGGAGAAACTGACAAGTGTGATATTTGTGACTTCTTTTCTAGATCCTGATTGATCATTTAATTACTCACTTGAGTCAAAATCTTGGAATCAAAACCGAATCGAACTTGTAGGACCGATGATAGATGCGATCTATCGTCGGCTGATCGATCGAGACTTCGCTCTGGAGGACCCAGAGGTAGTCATATTGCTGACCGCCCTGATCAACATCTTGGGGCACGACAACCGTGGGGACCGCCCCACGGAAGTCCTGTTGATGGCAGCATATGGAGAAAGAGGAGTACTAGACCGCCCGAACATGAGAGTGATGAGGTGGAGAAACGGGGCTCTCTCAAGGAGTGACTTGGCGAATGAGCCTGGATTGGGAAGTTCTAGGACCTATCAACCAGGTGAGATGCCTATGCCCTCCAAGCCAAAACCTGGGTTGACGAGAATGCATCGGGAGATGAACAGCGAGGCGACCTCGTCTGGTTCACCACTGAGAGCAGCTGTGCCACCAAAAAGGGCGAAAGTAGGACAGAAAGTTCAGACAAACCAAACCATGCAAGATCTGGATGAGATGAACGATGAACTGAAAAGTACAAAGAAGAATTGGAGTCAATATTAGGAAAGAAGTTCATGGGATATGTGAGCGGGAACTTCAGTGACTTCGAGAGACAGAAACAGAGAGGATCAACTGTCACAGATTACAATGCAGTAGATGAGAATGATGAAGTCCACCGAGTGATGATGGAAGTGGAACCATTGCTGGAAGCTTCGGGAAAACGTAATTGGAGGAGCATCATGTTGACGCATGACGAGTTTCCTTGCCACTGCTTGCTGCAGACCTGGTGGTATCCCAAGCGTAGTAATCTGATGTTGATCTGGGACTCTGGAGAGCTGCTCTCCATGGGTTTACCAGATTCATCACAGCCCATAACAATAGTGATAGTGGGAGTTATGGTGGCGATACGATGGCTGGAAGCTCATGTGAGAGAAAATAACAGACAGGAGGCACCGACGAGAGAACAGTTGCGGAAGTTAGATTGTCTAAAAGATTTAGATCTTTTTGAGACAATGTGCAAAGTTCTAAACATTCCGATGGAAGTGAAGAAGATATGGGCGAGGAAACGATTGATGCCATGGTTCAGAGCTAACATGACTGCATGGTTGTATGAATATGCGAAAAAGCATATGTCGAAGCATGGCAGAGTGTACAGTGATTATCAGCTGGACAGTGGAGCAGGAGCTTTTAAGCGAGCTCTCGTGACTCATCGGAATGCAGTGACCACCGCTGTGAAAAGAATTTCCAGGACGAGTGAACGTAGTGGAAAGGAGAAAGCAGAGATGCTGAAAGAAGATTTGGAGAGAAACATGACGTTGTGTCTCCACAACAGCTTCTGCAGGAACAGAGAATCTAACGTGGATCCCCTACCTTGTTGTAAACAGAGGGTGGAAGAGCAGAAGTGTTGGAGGACGGCTTCCAGCAGCGTCAGGATTGCTAACGACGTGTTACAAGATACGGAGACTGAGAGTGCAGAGTCAGTATCACAGGAGGAAGAAATGGAACATTGACGAATGACCGAAAAACAAGATGCAAAAAGAGACGAAATTAGAAGAATTTAGAAGTTTTAGAACTTCTAAACGACGAAAAAAGAAGAAAACAAAGGAGTAATGAAGAAAAAGTTAAAACTCAGAATTGTTTTATGTGTGTGAAAAAACTCAAGTGAGAAACCAAGCAACCAAGTTGTAATTGAAAACTGAAACATTTAGTTGAGTTTTGAAATTGTTGCATCTATAAATTTGAATTTTGATTTTAGTGGAGTGGCTTTAGAGACACTCACTTACTATTTATTTAGAAAGGCTTAAGTGAAGGAGTATATTCAATTATTCCAGCCTGCATGACTGTTTTTAATCAGCTAGGAGAACTGATCACTTTGTGGTGACATGGAAGGCTTGAGTAATCTCTCGAAGAGGGAGATTGTTTCATTGTTCTTGCTAACCACAGAGTTTCTTAGTTTAATTATTCAGGACAATAACAAGCAAGATTTCCGAAGGGAAAAGCATAGTAGGAAAATTTTAGCTTGTTGGTTGGCAGGACTGTCCTGCAAGCCAACACCTTTTAAATCTAAGAGATAAAGTTTTAATCGGGACCTTGACATTGGAAGTCAAAAATATGTTTTATCTTAGGTCATACCCTCAATGTGCTGATTAATGAAAGAATTTGAAGGCTATAGTGATGTAGTATGATGCCATTTATGTTCTGCAGTGAGTCGATGTGACCTGGATAAAGGTAATTTCGTGCATTTTGTAAATTCTGTTCGATGACACTGTATCTATTTTACGAAAATTGCGTGATTCAATGAGGACATTGACCGGACTGTCCGGGGAGTATGTGACATTCGACCAGAATGGCCAAAATGCAATCTCTGCAGAATTCGAAATTTTAGCAGCGAGCCTTCCGGATTGGTGATTATTAAGAATTAAGAACTTTATTTGAACGATTGAACAAAACGTGAAGGTTAAAGGATTCGGAAATTGCTGATTTTTAAATTTTCGAAGTGATTACGTAACATTTCTGAGAAACGTCAGAAACGGCCTTTTTGGCAGAAAAGCTAGAAAACAGCAGAACAACATTAGTTGCGCGGACGATAACTACGAGAATCGTGATAAAAAACAACAGCAGATTGCAGGAATAGCAGAGCACTCCGAGTTGCAACTATTGTGTCGCTACAAAAGTTGCAAGGCCGTTGCAGATAACGGTGAAGGGTGGAGGACAGCCTTCTGGATTAAGAAGAAATCAAGATTAACGAGCTTGATTCGGTGGATTCAAGAATCCGGAAGGGTTTCGGAACTGAGACTTTTATTCTTTTATATAGACTTTTAGCTTCTTGTCATACCCTGATTTGAATTTAATTAACAACTGGATTCATTTTGATAAGGATGAGAAGCTAGGAGTTGGGGGAAAGGGTTGATCCATCTTCGATGGAGATGATGATCTTTATCTACTGAACAAAAACAATAGTAATATGATAAATAGTAGTAGCCCTGTTTTTAGGAGTGACCTCGTGGTCTGGGGATACTGAGACCCAGCCATGAGCTCACTATTTCTGCATGTAATTTAGTTAATTTGAGTGTTTTGACCGAAGCCGAAAGCAGTGACGTTTTTTGTCGACCCGATGCTAGAAAAGACCACCAAAAGTACTGGCTTGGTAGAGACTGTGAAAAGCATATAAAGCTCTGTTTAGACGTTAGCCAGTCGTCTTAGGACTTAGTTTTATTTTCCGTCGATATGTATCTTCCGGGCGAATGTTACAGTAAGTAGTCAAAATAGCAGCAGGAAATGGCTATTCGCAATTTCGAATACATAATTCGTCTCAATATTCAATATCTGATCATTCAATATATTGCAATCCCTGGAGTAGAAGAAATTTTTGCTAAAAAGTAAATTTCAAACGTTTTCGCAACTATGTGCATCGTCAGGATTTTTACAATAAACTACTCTAAATGACGATACAACATCAATTTACAAATGTTATTTACAATAAATCACATACAATTTGGTTCTAAACCATCATGATAAAAAATTAGCCAATCACAGTTGACCTCTAAATTACTATTAAGATTAAAATACTTTTAACCTCTAAAATTAATTAAACATTTTAAAATTAATTTGTCTGGAAGTTTCTGAGTCATAATTTCGATTTAGACATGTACGTTTTGAATAAAAAACCAAAAATATTTTGGGACTAAATTTTCAGTCAGAAGACGGAAGAAGACGGAAAGTGATCGCGAGTAGAGGAGAAGTAAATTAGAGTGGACCAGAGAGAACCTTCGGTGGAAAGGTGGACAGCTGAAGCTGCCCAATGGTCCAGATCAAAAACTTGTTTCTTGAGTTAAAACTTGCTTATTTCAAACTTCTCGAGTTAAAGTTAATTACCCAAACAATTCTACAGTTGCTTTATAGTTTAGTTACTCATTTCTAGAGGTCGTGTCGGTATGTGAGTACCTAATTTAATTTCTTGAGTGTGTTTTTTATTGTTATGTTGAGTAAGGGAGAGTTTTATTGTTATGTTGAGTAAGGGAGAGTCCACTGTCTAATAAAAAGTAACTTTACATAAGTTCCGACCCTGTTTTTAACGGCGTTCGCGTATTTTGGGTATTTTGTGACCTGAGTATGGGGGCGTTCTTATTTTCTAGAGTGGGGGGCATCTTGGTAGTGGCCTTGGGCTGAAACGCGGGTTTTAGTCTCATGTCGCAAGTGAACCGAATTGGCTCGACCGCTTGAGGTAGAAAAACTCAAGAGATAGTGTCCCTGACTCATGAGCCAATGGTTATAGGGCCTATTTTTCTTTAACCTCATATGTGACTTAAGTAGGAGACTGTTACAATTCAGTTTGAATTATAAAATGACTTCAAATGTTCAAATACCTTTAGTGCTCGAAGAGCTTTCTTAGAAAACTAAAATTTTCTCAAAAGCTTGCATGCAAAATCTGCACATTATTGCGACTCGATTTACTGTGAATTAACTTGAATTGTTTCAAGGGTTGATTGTTGTGCCCAACAAATTTTGTAATGAATATACGAAACGTCTACTTATTAAGTAGATTGATTTTTTTAAAAAATGTCAGCGCTTGCTCTGAAAAACTTCTGTTAATCGATTCACTTTATGACATAACTCGAGTTATTTAAAGGTTTCATTGTTTGCTAAGCTTGAATTGAAGAATGTTTTTGCGAGCCGATTCGCACTATAACTTCATCGCAATATTTCAAAGTTCCATCGGTTGAATGGCCAGTTCAGAAAAATCAACTTAAATGAATCAATTTAGGTTTTGAAATAACATGCTCAGAACAGTTTTGCGAACCGACTCAAGCTGAAATAGTTTTGAAATATTTCAAAGTATAATCGCTTGAATGAATAGCTTGCCGTAAAAACCCTAAAATTTTGCAAATGAAACCTTTCAGAATTTTTATATATTATGGTAGCTAGAAATCAATTGAAATTGTGTTTTGATGGCTAATGATTCTTCTACGACCGGCAATGAAGAGCCACAGGAGTTTTGTGGACTCTGCGATGAGTTCTTCCGCACTCTTGACGAATATCTGGATCATTTAGAGAGCAATGATCACATGGAGAAACTAGTTGGGAGTAATTTCCTCTCTAAGAAATGTCTAGAAGTTTTTCAGTTACTACAAGAGCGATTTAGAGCCTCGAAAATTGCAAGTTGTTGCGGAAAAGGTAAAGGCAGTCTCCTTGATTTTGTCTCTCATTTAGCCTGTCCTTGTCAAGCGCGCTTAATTCAGGCGAGTACAGAACACGTTGAAGAAGAAAAGGTTAGGAATGGAGAGTCAACGACGAAGTTCAATAACAGTCTAGAGTTCGAAAAACATGCCAATTGTTCCAAGCTTGCGGCAAAGACTCATAGAATTGCAAGAAAAGCCACTGCGCCACCTACACGTTCGTTTACTACCAAAAAGATAGCAGATAAAGGTACACTGATTGTTTCAAATGTGTGTTTGATTTTGCCTGATTACTCTGTACCGTAATATATATTCATATAAGATAACGCCTATCTAAGTAAACCAAAAAAGTTGGTAGCTGTAACATTCTTACGTCTCTACTAAGTCTAATTCAATGTAGTCCTCCGTAAATAGTATCGACGAACCTGTTACTGCTCAAAGGCTAGCGGCAGAACGATGCAAATTAACTACATGCAAGAATAGGGAGTGCAGCCAGTATTTAGACAGCCGCGTATTCATACTGGTCAGTATTTAGGCAAATACTGTATGAACCAATCAGAATCGAGAAAAGACACAAATAATCCAAAATAAATAATAATCATTTATTAATTTCTTCTTTGTCTCGATTCTGATTGGTTGAAACAGTATTTGTCTAAATACTGACCAGTCTGAATACGCGGTTGTCTAAATACTGATATGTAACCCAAGAATAGTGAGCTCATGGCTGGGTCTCAGTATCACCAGACCACGAGGTCACTCCTAAATATAGGGCCTGTATGTTTTAGTCGTTGAATGTAGTTCAGACTCTTGTATAGACGTGATATATGAAGTTTTTTTGTTCAAGAAGTCTCCAATTTTTCAGGCTCCATTTTACTTTTTCGAGGTTTGACTTTGATTTCTTCTCAAGTAGTTCATTTCCTTTGTTAAAAGGAGGGCAAACTCTCCTATGGAACAGCAAAAATGTAAACGTCAATTGACCCAATGTTCTCATTTTGCCTGATTTTTATCAACAAAGGATCAATCATAAATGTCTTTTCTGTCTTTTTTTTTTATCTGCATTTAAAATTTCGAAGAGCTTTAAGGCCATTTATTTTTTCTTCACAAAAGTTGATGTTTTTTCAAAAAAAAAACAAGTCATTATTTTTTCTGTTGATGAGAATATTAATGCAGATAATTGTAGTTTCCAAGAGTTTTCTTTAACGTAGCATAGACGGCGAATTAATCCGGCTCAGAAATCGTTTTTCTATAAATGGAGGCAAGCCTTTTTGGCCTTAGTAACGCCTTAAGAGACGAGAAAGTATGATTTTGTACGCGTCGAAAAGTACACTGAAACAAAGGTAAATAAATATAGCACCAAACGTGGGGAAAAACCTTGATTTGAGTGTCTTTTTGTTATTTACGTGTCCACATTTGGAGTAATTTTTGATTTAAACTAATTTTGGAGCCGGAGATGTGAAGTATCTACTTGCTAATCCGATCACTTAAAGCGTGGACGATTTTAGTTTGGTCTTCGGATGAGTTAGTTTTTTTCCCCAGCAAAATTAGTTTTTTTTTCCTGGAAAAAATAATCATTCTGATTATTTTTTTCCCACAAATAATCAGAATGGGTCGAGTGATATACTATATTAAAGCCCTTTCATCGAACACATTTAAACTCTAATAGTCCAGAAAAATTCGAAGAGCTTTAAGGCTTAAATTGGTTTGAAGATTTTTGATTTGTTTGTCTAATTTTGAGCGAATAAAGCGAGCAATCAAGTTCTAATAGGACGAAAAGCTTTTTCGTAAGCCATGATAACTTAGTTTACTCCAGTCAATTTATTTTTAGAGTTTTGCTTCAGCGCTTTCTTGAGAATTTAACACAGTTTTCACACTAGCGAGAGCAAATGTCTTGCAATCGAGAATTACACTTTTTTCCTGTAAACAATTTTCTTTTAAATCTATAAAATTTCAACTTGCTTTGTTTTTGAACCTGTTTTGTTTTTGAACGCCATGCTCATCCGAACTTGTTTTTGAGATAACGCGTTTGTGTTTGCACCCTTAGGTCTGGGGTTCGGGTTCCGGTCTGAATTGGTTGTTTGTTTATGTATAAAATGAAAGCTATTTTAATTGTAGTTGCTAGTGTTGTTGATATACTCCTATAGTTTCGCTCAATTTTTTTTTCGCTCAAAAGCTTTTCTCGGCTTAAATAGTTCCGGTTTTTAATTTATGGGAATTACACACAGCAAAAAATGCGCCCATCTAGTGCACAATTTGTCCTCGTTTTGAAAATTTAAAAAAATAGACCAGGTCTGTTCGGGTGTTGTACTTTCAAGTTTTAAAATTCAATTGCTCAAAGTTTTTTGTTTCGTTTTTCAGCTCAATGGGCGTCTACCCACGTGTTGTCACTTAATTGCCATTTATAATCACTGAAAGCCTATTTAATGCTGATGGTTGTTTTTCTCCAATTTATTTGAAATTGAATTTTCCATTTTCTCCAAAAAAAGTTAAATTTGTAACTGTTTATTTCGCATGATGTGCAAAACAAAACTGTTGTCGTATGTGCGTGCTTTACTATAACTATCAAAGATTCTTAGTTCTAGCCTCGTTCAGGTCATCTCGTCGCACCGCGAACAAAAAACGACCCACTTTGAGAAAAGGAACCTTAAAATTTTTATTGTTCTTGTCGGATCTTTCGGTGCTTTTGCGCAGCAACATGATATCCTTGTTAACTGTTGTAGTTTTTTGTGTTTCATCAGCCTTAAAGCTTCCAGCCATGGATTTGTTTTCACGTAAAATCAAATAGCACAAAAAACATGTGACATCATGTTTTGTGCCATTTTGTTTTGTGCCATTTTGTTTTGTGCCATTTTGTTTTGTGCCATTTTAAGCCCCCTTTTACGTCTTAAAACAAAAATTTTCATAAGATGTTTTTATCTTTGATTTAAATTTGGATCGAGTGTATTTGTTAATTTTTTTACTTTTACCAAAATAATTTTGGTCAGAAATTGTGTACTCTATGCTTGAATCTATTAGCCGTTACATTTCTGAAAAAAAAATCGGGCGGACGAGTCGCAATTTAAGCTCTTCTGTGGGTAAGTTTAATTCTCGCGGAATCTGAATGGAGCATTCGGTGTCTTTATTACTTTCCTGTTCAATAGTAATGGGCGTCTGGTTAATAGATTCAAGCATCCCTGAAATACAATTACGCTACTGTCGCCCAAAGCTGTCACACGATTTCCGATTTTAATTGAAGACCTAGATTTTTAATAATCAACCAACTTTGCTGGATAGTATAATTGGAAAACTTATAGCGAGTTAATTTATTAGTTATCCTCATTTGCTTATTTCTCATTTGATTTTTTTGTCACCGGACTCAAATACCAAAACCCGGGAAATGACTGCCTGATTTTAGGCAACCATGCTCCTGTTAAAAAGCCGGAAATTGATCACGGTTCTTCTAGTGACACCGATGCGCAGCAACAAAACGCAGTGGCAAACGCCGGAAAGAAGATGGAAGAGGCGCTGGAAGAGTATATGGTTATGCAAGCATGCAAAGAAGGAAAGAGACGACGCGTGACTCCTCCTATGGGCAACATGGCTCATCTGCTGGGATCAGCAGACGGCAGGAGAATCATGAGGGGTCTGGCAAGACATACCAGTGTGTCTTACCATGATCTGATGCCTCCTGCGGTTAAACGGACAAAAACTTCAAATAGCTCAGTGGCTAACAAAGGAGGCAAGTTGGAGTTAATTGTTCTCTGCCATATGACGAAAAGTTAGGGTTCCCATAGAGCACTCAAGTTTTGTTCATTAAGCATATCAAAGGAGAAAAACTACATTTGAAGATAGGTTCACGAGGAAATTCCTTGTGTTTCTTTTTTTCTGATTTACAAATATTGGTCATCAATTTGTCTTGACAATAGTAATTTTGTTCCTTAGGAGTTGCTAATGGTAATTCTAGCAACAAACGTCGCCCGAGTTCGTCGTCTGAGGATGAAAAGGCTGCTCTGCCACAGTTCAACCTGCCTCCGGATTACTATGAGTCGGAGAAGTATCCGGCAGTGGATTTGACTGGCTTGGATGTGGACACCTTCTTTGCACAAGATGCGGATAGTAGTGTTTTGGACCGAGTGGAGAACTGCAGTCTAAATGTGACTAACACCATCACAAACACTGAGAGAGACAGGCAAGTGAACTAGTATACTCAACTCAGGATGAATCTTTTTATATATTAATTGAATGACATGTTTTCAGCATAAGGCCTAATGTTTAAGGGGCTATCGAGTGTAACTTTAAAAAAACTTAGATCAGAACGTCTAAGAATCATTCAGTCTAGGACATTCTAGAATTTTTTTTTTCGAGAAAAGTCCGAAACTTTTAAACAAAATGAACTCGATTCAACTTCAAGGCTAGACATTATAGCTTTTTTACAAATTTTTCGGACAACGTATTAAATTTCTGAAATAATTCTGACCTTAAATTTGAACTAACTCGAAATACTTCTTTGAAGGGTCGGGGTTGCCTTTTCGGCGTTTTTGCTCTGAAAAATTACTTGGGAAATCGTTGTCGAATGAAAAACATTTTTAAAATGTGCTCTTGAAATAAGGCACCACTAAAATTCTCCTAAAAAGCATAATCATTCTACATTGCTCTTTTGACTGTTCAGTGAAGTTTTGAAAATTCGATTGCAATTTTAACGCCATTTCATTGTTCTAAAGTGAGAATTATTTCAAAAAGATTTAAGACGTCCGATAAATTTGATAAAAGTTATACAGAGCTGATTTAAATTAACCAGAAAAAACGCGTTAAACTTGAAATTTAAAACGCGTTTTTCTCAAATTGGATTCAGTTTAGGTGAAAACTTATGAAGACAAAACTTGCTTAAAATTTTAACAGAATTAATATGGTGTAATTTGTTTTGCGAAATTCGGGCCCAAAATGTTACCCCAAAAATGGGTCAATTTGGCTTTTCTTATTTAATCAAAAATTACGCCAAAAATATCCAGTCGATTGAATTGCTTAGAAAAACTTAAATTATGAACTAATTTGATAATTTCAACGCTTGAATTACATTAAATGAAAACTTTTCGCCATCCGATTCGCTCTGAAATTTGAAATCTTGAAGTTTCCAAGCTTAAATAGTATGCTTAGCAAAACTTGATTTTTCTCTAAACGATTGTGTACCTTGAAATAATTCACAGCTTGAAAAGCTTGCTCGGAAAAACTTAAAGTTTCTGCAAACCAATTTGGTCTATGAAATAACTCGATTTATTTTGTAGCTTAAATATCTTGCTTGAGAAAAAATCGCCGATTTGTTTCGTGAAATGAGTTGAAATACTTCAACGTCTCATTGCTTCAATAGCTTGCATAGGAAAACTTTAATTTTTCGCAAACCGATGCAATCTATGAAATATTTTAAATCGCCTCATCACCTGAATGGCAGCATTGGAAAAACCTGATTTTTTCTTCAACCGATTCGCTCTACTTAATAACTTGAATTGAAATATTTCCAACCAAAAGCTTGCTTTAAAATTTTTATTTTTTTCCAATCGATTAAGCCTATGATATAATTTGAAAATTTTCAAAGCTTGAATAGCTTGCTGAGAAAAACTTTAACTATGAACTTATTTGAACGCTTCAACGACCAGAAAAGAAAATCTTAAATTTTTCGCCATTCGATTCGATTTATGAAATTTCTTTAACTTAAACTTTCTGCAAACCAAGTCGCTCCATGAATTAACTTGAATAATTTCAAAGTCTCCTTGCTTGATTAACTTGCATATGAAAAATTCTATATTTTTTTGGGAAATGATTTGGTCTAAGAAACAAATTGAATATTTCGAAGCTCATCGCTCGAATAGCTCGCTGAGAAATACTTCAAACCTTCCAAAAAGCACAGCTTCGGAGGCTTATTTAGGAAAAAAATCAAAATTTTTGCGAACCACTTCGCTCTATTCTTGCTGGAATAACTTGCACAGGAAGGCTAATTTTTTCATTAGCTGCTTTTGTCTAAAAATTTTTTTGCAGGTCATCGCTCAAATAGCTCGCTCAGAAAGTTTTATCTTTCGTTAAACCTTTCAGACATACTAACAACTCACAATTTTTTTTTCAAGTTTTCATAGCTTTTTTAGATTACTTGAATTTCTTGCTAACTGATTCGCTCTGTGAGACATTTGAAATTTTTCAAATTTTCATTGATTGCATGGAAAAATTTCAAACTTTTCACAAACGCTTCGCCTTATGAGTTCACTTGCTTTTTTTTTTCAATTTTTCATAGCTTTAATAATTTGCTTACGATTAACTTCAACATTTCTCGAATTGCTTCGGTCTATGAAGCAGCTTGAAAGATGTCAAAGTTTGATTAAAAAACTTCAACTTTTAGCCATCAGCTTTGCTTAATGAATTAACTTGAAATATTTCAAAGATCAATCAATATATCATAAAATCAACGCTGGATTGGCTTCAAAGTAAAAATCGAAATTTTTGCTTTACGAGTAGCTTCATGAAATAATTTGAAATGTTGAATCGTTTCAAATTTAAGTTGCTTGAATATCCTACCAAGAAAAATCTCAGTTTTTTCGAACTGATTTGTTTTACGAAATAACTTGAAAAGTTTGCATAGGAAAGCTTCATATTTTTGCAAAACAATTCAGTCTAAGAACTAACTTGGAATTTTTCTTTATTCCATCGCTCGAGTGGCTTCAGTACAAAACTGCAGTTTTACGTTATCTGATTTGCTTTCTGAAATCAGTTGATATGTTTGAACAAGCAATGCTTGTGTTATAGTATGAACTATCTTTTTTTTTCAACCGAAGTCGCTAATATTGTTGCGACGCAAATATTGTTGCGATTAAATGTGTTCATTTTGAAAGTGTTCATTTTGTTCCCTAACCAGCTATTAAGTACAGCCAATGCTAAGGATATTAACAGAATATTTTTGTCCCGACTTTCATAACGAAAGAAGCGGAATATTTTTGCTCGGGGTGGGTTTTTCTTCTGAAAAGTTTGGGCTTTTTAAGTAGCCAGTTTTGACAGTTTTTTTTTGTATCATTCCAAAATTATTGTTGTTTTGAGCTTAAGTTTTGAAAGATATTTCACCTGTGATTATTTTTCGTAAAGTGTGGGGGGTTTGAAAATTGCCAATTTGGGACAATTAACGCGCGATATATTTCGCGCTATTAACGCGTAAGCGGAGATTTAATCCGTCATACAAATCGTTCTAAATTTCTCGAAGCAAGCTTATTAGCCATAATTGGTTTGTTACTAGGGGCGAAATTTATCACTTTGTACTTAATATGGCGTGTGGGGCGATGTTTTTCACTAAAAATCTCAAATTTCATTTTTATTTTAATACATTTAATTTTCATGTTATTACTGCTCCATATACTGTTGTATAAATTGGGGCATGTTAGTTGGTAAAATTCTTTTTTAATTAAATTGACTGGTACTGCATCTGGTACTGCAAACTGACTGGTACGTGCATCCTTAAGGAAATTTTGTAGACTCAAAGTTTTACTCATTCAGGTTTTCCCAGTAGCGTTATCAGTCATATTTTTGCTCGTGTATGCGAAGAGCAACTTCGCCTCTGTGTTCATAGCTCAAATATCTGGCTTAGAAAAACTTATCGGTTTTTGAGAACCGATAAGGTCTACAAAAAACTTCAAATGTTTCATTGTTGCATAGCTTGAATAACTTGCTTAGAAAAACTTAAATTTAAAATTACTTGAATTATTTTAAAGTTGAATCAAATTTTTGCAAACAGCTTTGGTCTTAATTAACCTGAAAATGTTCGAAGTTCCACAGCTTGAAAAGTTTGCTGGAAAAACTTCGACTTCGAGCATACCGATTCGGTCTTTGTAAAAACTTGCAAAGTTTCAAATTTTAAGAGCTTGGATAGCTTGCTAATAAAACGACGTTTTCGCGAGCAGTTTCCCTCTGAGGAGCAACTTGAATCAATAAAAAGTTTCATCGCTTAAATAGTGAGCTAAAAAATTTCTTGAATGGCTACAATAGATGAAAGTAAACTTTTCGCCATCCGATTTCATTGAAATAACCTAAAATGTATCAAAGCTACATAGCTTGCTTGGAAAAAATTCACTTTTTCGCGCACCGAGTTGGTCTGAATTAACCTTAAATTGTTTAAAGTTTTACAGCTCAAAAATTTTGTTTAAGAACAGCGTGATTTCGCGCATACTGATTCACTCTGAAATTCGACGTGTTTAAATTTTTCATCGCTTGATTAGCTAGCTAAGAAAAACTTACTTTTGGGGAACCGATTTTTTCTAAGAAAGAGTTTGAAATGTTTCTTAGTTGAATAGCTTGCTTAGAAGAACTGAAACTTGTCTTGAACCGATTCGGTCTTTGAAATTTGAAACTTTTTTAACCGATTCACGAACTGGTTTCACTTGAAATTGTCCGAAGGTTTGTTGCTCGAACAGCTTGAGCAGAATAACAACTTACTTTTTGCGAGCCGATGGCCTACTGGAAGCGGGGTTGCTAGTATGTTTTAAATGAAAGTCGGAAAGCACTATGGACGCAATGCTTAACTGAACTCAACGTTTTAATTTGTCGAGCGCAATGCTTTGAAAAATTCTATAAGCTCAACGCTTAAGAGAATTTAAGAATGTTCTAGAATTCAAAGTTTCATCGCTTCAATAGCTTGCTTGAAACTTTTTTTCTAAGCAATCCAAGCCATGAAAACAACTTCGAAATATGTCAAAGTTTCATTTTTTTCATAGCTTGCTTAGAAAATCTGCCTTTTGCGACCAAATTCGCGAAAAGTATTAAAGCCAATTCGCTCTGTTAACTACTTTGAAGCTTCATCGCCAATGATAGCCTGCTGAGAAAAAATTGAATTCTTTGCAAACTGATTCGTTCTATAAATTAACTTGAACTTTTTTAAACTTTCACTTCAATAGCTTTGTTAAATCACATTAAAAAGTTTTTGCCAAGGAGTCCAACCTTTGAAAACTATTTCGAAACTTTAAAAAAGGTATAGCTCGCTTAGAAAGCTTCATTTTTCGGGAGCTTATTCGATCTATGAAATAGATAAAAATTTTTGAAGCTTCATTGCTTTCACAGCTTGCTCAGAAAAACCTGAGTTTTTTGGTAAAACCATCCAGGCTATGAAAACAACTTCGAAATATTTCAAAAGTGTCATCGCTACAATAGCTTGCCTGAGCGATGAAGCTTTGAACTATTTCAAGTTATTACATAGAGCGAATCGGCTCGCGGATTTTTTTTTACAATGTAATAACTTGAAAAAGTTCAAAGCTTCATCGCTTGGATAGATTCTCGCACATTTCGAAAACTCTCTTTTTTTGCGCAAACCCGGTCGTTCTATGAAATTACTTGAAATTTTTGAAAGTTTCAGCAGCTCACTAGCTTTCTAGATTAAATTAACTTTAAAAACAAATTGGAAATATTTCGAATTTCATCGCTTGTACTTTTTGCAAACTTATTTGCTTCATGAAATAACTTTAAGGTTTTCAGCTTTTTCAGTTGTTTCCTTCAATTTCTCTATTTTTTTTTGCTCTAACTTAGAAAGTTTTAAAATTGCATCGCTTCAATACCTTGCTATAAATTTTTCTCCTTTTCACGTGCCATTTCGTTTCATGAAGAAACTGACTATTTTTTTCTTTGGATGAATGCGTTACTTAGAAAAGTTTTTTTTTGCAAACTGATTCCTTCTATGAAATTGTGGAAAATTTTCAATTTTCTTTACTCTAAGACTTATCTTGAATAACTTCAACTTTTTTGTTGAATAGTCAAAGCTATGAAAACGACCCTTAACTGGATAAATTAACTCGAATACTTCAATGTTTCAAAGCTTAATAAATTTGCGAGGGGATTGATTAATGGTGATGAGCTTACTAGTTCTTGTTTATTTGTGCTGTTTTCACATAACCCCAGAACGACTTAGATCATATTCTTACTCTGGGACGTTTTTTTTTGGCTCAACGGACGTCTACTCAAGTTTTTTCGGCTTAGTTATTGATGCAGACCTTTTGGCAGACATAGTTTTCGATTCATTTCGGAACATTTTTTCAAACTTACATGCTGTAGATTAGTTTTTCTGTCCATTAACTCGTCGTTCTATGCTTGCGATGTAAATAATTAGTGTAACTGCGTCTGCATTTTCGGGGGAAACTTGTCTTCAACATGACAAACATGACAATCAAGTTTTTATATGAAGAAAATCATAGAATAATTAGAATGCCGTAATAATATTTGTTTGTTTCACATTCCATTTGCATCAGGTATGGCAACTCAGTGTGTGATCGCCACTGTACCTTCATCATCTTCCAGTGCAGCAGGTGCAGTGCACTCCTCACAGACAACAGTCGCTTCACAGACCACTTCTACTCTCACTCGGAGTCCACCGGGAGACCCTCGAGGCACAAGCAGTTGCAGGAGGGGGCACAAACGGCGGCGTGTGGGAGTGGGGGTGATGGGGATGTGGCCTGTCTAGTGTGTGAGGGGGTGGTGCTGAAGACGACAGTGGAGATCAGGAGACACATGATGATGAGCATCCACTCCACAGCTGTGAACAAGTTCGCAATAGACACCAGAGGCACTGTGAGCAGACAGCTGATGAAGTTGCAGAGACTCAAGGTAACCCAACAACAACAACAGCAACACAGTCTCAATTGGTTGCGGCTCACTTAGAACAAACTAGACTGCTCTACGCAAATCAGTGTTTGTTTGCACTGCAGTTGATCGAGACAGAAGCAAGAAGTTAGGTGCTTTAAAATAAAAAAAGTAGTATAATTCTCAGCTGTCTGCATTTCTTCGTTTCATTCGGAGGCAAATAAGTTGAAACGATTGGCGTCTGGTTTATTGTCATCAACTGCTTTTCAAGTAAGAAAAAAGACATTATGAAGGACAGTGAGTGTGTTCTGATTAAACTTTCTGTAGTATTTAAGTTTCAATTGAATTGTCAATAAATAGTTCAAAATATATTTAGTTATTTAGTTTTTGAAATAATTCTAAAATACCGAATCATGACGAGTAAAATAACACACGTACTTAACAGATATCTACCCAGCGGTTAGGATGTTTTTTTAAGTGTGTCTTGTTTTAGAAATTGCAGACGAAGAATCCTTCGTCTCTGAAAGAATTAACAGAAATAGTAGCTCCCATCAATGCCCTAGTGCTGGCTCTGATTAGAGTGTGCCAGATTATAGTGGCATACCATAAGGACTCTAGACATCTCCAATATGACATCACACCTGACATGTTCGACCAGGAGAAACATCTCATTCCGGAGCTGAAGTTCTACTTGAACATGGCCTTCAGACACTACCTGCCTCGCTCCTTCCACAAATTCAAAGGATTGTTCTACTGTACTCTATGCAGTGGGCTTTTCTGCGACCTTCAGATGCTGGTTGATCACGCAGTGAAAGATATTTCACACCTGATTCGAAGCTGCTTCCGTCTCAAGGACAATAGCAGTGTAGTGTGTTTTTATTGCCAACACCCACACCTAGCCGCTAATTGCATGGCACTCATCGAGTCCTGCAACAAGACCAACCCGTCCACAGGCGAGAAGTACGAGTGCATACGGTTTGAAAGAGGCGTAGAGAGCAGAAGCAGCCACGCAGAAGATGACGAGGATGCTGAGGAGGACGTGAAGACACTGTCAGAATATTTGAAGAGAAGTGGGAGAGGAATGGCGAAGTTGGATGGAGTAGATGCTAAGGTGCTCTTCAAGTGCAAAAGTGTGAGCTGTTCGAGTTCTTCTAAATGGAGTAACATGTCCAGTCTCTCTGCAGTGTACAGACATCTGACCTCAAGGATACACACGCCTCCATCCTCAGAACTGAAACTGAACTCTATTAAAATTGAATGCAGCTGCTGCAAAGCACACACCTCCTCCTTTGTTTCTTTGGTCGCACATTGTCTCACTGGTGCTAAGTTGAAAGTGCTTCTTGTGTTATCCGTATTGGTTGAAAAAAGTATTTGTTAAATTGGAATAATTATTGAATATAGTTTCGATTTTAGCTGTTTTTCAAATAAACGTTTCGCCGCACTTCTGTTTTGCCGGGTCCTTGCAAAAACAACTGATGTGCTAAAAGCAGGAAAAGATTTTTTTGTTGAATTGATTGCTTAACGATAGCCTTTTTTTATTTTGCTCATCAGCAGTTATGAAAAATAAGCATAAATAAGGACCTTCGAAAAAAAAAACATAAAGAACATGCCTTTTATACCTATGTGGTACAGTACCAATTCTGTGCACACTATTATGTCATAATCATATCTGTCAATTGTTTCATTTGGATTTCAAGGTCGTTGACGACCTGTCACACCGCGGGGAAGTTAGTGCTTGACTTTCTATACATTGTCAACTTATGTAAGATAAAAGTCGATATAAATTGTTTTGTCATGACACTATTTATAAACTTTTTAAATTTACATACCTATATCTACAAGATGAATTAAGTCTTGGTCTTAGTATTATCTGAGTCAACTGAGATACAACATGGCGCAGCCAGCAGTTTCGGTCTCGGACGACCGGACTGACCTGCTAGGTGTACCCGTGTTCTGACACAAGCAGACGTCTGACCCGCCAAGCACCTGGGAATCATGGATCGGACAATTTCCATTCTTGCCATCACGTTGCAGGAGAGATGTGACCTCGAGAAATGTTAAAACAGCCAGGAGTCGTTCATGATGATCCGGCCCCGAAGCCGAAAGCTGTCGGTACTTGTGAGGACGCGAGTGCGACTGCCAACCGCCTCGCACCGGATGCTGCAGCAGTTCGCCGGGTAGATGACATCAACGAGGAAAGAAAGGCAAAAGTCCAGGGATTGCACCTCGTGTTTTCTTTCATGAGGCATATCAGCGCATCAAATCCAGACTATTTTTTTTCTCTGGGTTCCGAAAGCAGGAAACGTTTTCTTCAAAGCTATCCACATGTAGACCTTCGTGTTATTTCGTTCAAAGAGTTATGATAACTATGTTCTACTATTCAAGAAGGAGAAGAACTATTTCATAGAACATCTACAAGTGTACAACGCGGTCATCTCTGAAAATGAGTGTCTGGAAGCCTTTTTCTTACGTTTAACAGGTCAAGCGGCTCTGTGTGGTTGGACAGTAGCACAAGAGAAAGAGGTTGTGAGGGATATCTTTATTTCCAAGATGCTCTTTAAAGACATCCAACGGGAGTTGTTTGATCGTCCCGGTAACACTCCAGAAAAGACAATGGAGTCGGTCCTGCTACAGGAAAAGGGTGCCAAGACGGCCACCAATTTACAAAAGCAAATGGGAAACTCGGCAGTAGCGGGCAGCGCATCCCATCAAGGGTCAAGTTTCGACCAAAACTTCGGTTCAAAGTAAAAGAAATTGTCGGACAGGATCAAACTCTAGTCGACCGAGAGTGGGGAACAATTCCAAAGACGTAAAACCTTGCTATTTCTGCGGGAACAAATTCACTGCAAATAATAAACAAATTTATGCAGCAACGAATGTAACGTGTAGGAATTGCAGTAAAAAGGGTCGTTTTGCGAAATGTTGCAATACCTGAAGCATCGCTAATGTGGATGCCGAGTCAGACGATACAGACGAGGAAGGTTGTAATTTCTTTACTTTTGATAGTGAGTTGGAGTTTGCAGTGCTTGCTGTCGAAGGGCTTCACCGTCCTACAAATCAAGTTCCTTCTAGCACAGCCTCAGCGAAGAAGTTGGAAGTAATAAATGCGGCTACCTGTAAAATACGCTGCATCCAAATCACTCTACGTTGCAACCAAACTCTGTTTAAAGCCACGGTATATACGGGTAGTCCAGCTTCCTTTGTGAACAAACGAACAGCGGAGTTTTTAATTAAACAAGCGACTTCAGCTGTTGTCCTAGATAAGACGGAGTGCCCAATTGATACGGTGTACGTCGACTTTATTCGGAAAAAAATAAAAGGTTTTGGCACGCTGATAATTGACGTGTCATCGTTAAATTGGAACGTAAAGTCGGTCAAATTCCTCGTACCGGAGAACCGTACCAGATGTCTGCTTGGTTTAGACCTGCAATCTCAGTTAGGGGTCCGAACAACTCAAGTGAGGCCGCCTAGCCCACTGTTGGGCATAATCTCCCAATCGGAACCGAGTTAAAAATGAGAATTTTGGAGATCGCAGTATCAAAAGAAATTTGGTCATGTTTCCTCACGTCTAGGCAGAGCGAAGAACCATTAAGTATTTTCCACGTTTAAATCGCCCCTTACTCCTGAAAATCTACCGGAACCCGCGGCCTTTTTCTTGAATAGGAGTAAGGGGCGATTTAAACGTGGAAAATACTTAATGGTTCTTCGCTCTGCCTAGACGTGAGGAAACATGACCAAATTTCTTTTGATACTGCGATCTCCAAAATTCTCATTTTTAACTCGGTTCCGATTGGGAGATTATGCCCAACAGTGGGCTAGGCGGCCTGACTTGAGTTGTTCGGACCCCTAACTGAGATTGCAGGTCTAAACCAAGCAGACATCTGGTACGGTTCTCCGGTACGAGGAATTTGACCGACTTTACGTTCCAATTTAACGATGACACGTCAATTATCAGCGTGCCAAAACCTTTTATTTTTTTCCGAATAAAGTCGACGTACACCGTATCAATTGGGCACTCCGTCTTATCTAGGACAACAGCTGAAGTCGCTTATTTAATTAAAAACTCCGCTGTTCGTTTGTTCGCGGATTTAAAAGGCCGCGGCTTCCGGTAGATTTTCAGAAGGTAAGAGAAGAAATTCGTTTACTCATTGAGGAAGGACTCATTGTAAAACTCAAAAAGTGTACTAGCGAAAATTTCATTTCATCGATTGCCATAACTGCAAAGAAAGATGGAACAGTTCAGGATGCAAAAGCCCATGAAAGACCAAATTCATAAAAATCAGCACAAAATGCCCAATTTACTGGAGCTGTCGGACTCGGCTGCCCAGATCATTAAGTCGAATAAAAGTGGCGAATCATGGTTCACGTCGTGGGATCTGAAATACGCGTTTAGCCAAATTCCATTGAGTGATGCATTTAAGAGTCTCTGTAATTTCAACATTGTGTGAGGAGAAAAGACTAGCACTTATAGATCCAAAACAGGCTTTTATGGGTTTACTCACCTGGCCAAAGATTTCCAATAGGCTTGTGATAATACTCTACAAGATTTGTCAAGAGTTTTCTGTTTTTTTTTGGACGACATTCTTATTGTCTCTAAGTATTAGTTGTCGAGCATAACTGTCTAGTGGAGAAGGTGTTAATTCGGTTAGAGGAGGAAAGTTTCGCCCACAATTTTTCGAAACGTGAACTTTTGCTAAGTCAACTGTCATGGCTAGGTTTTGACATCAACTCCGAAGAATATCGCTCAAAATGTTCTAAAACCAATGCTGTTCTGAATCTCGAACCTCCACGAACGTTAAAGCAACTCAGATCATTCATGGGTTTCCTCAACCACTTGCAAAGGCTTTTGCCACACCTTCAGGTCCTTTCAGACCATCTCCGTCCGTCTTTAGCTAGCAATTAGAACAAATTCGTTTTGGAGGAATCTCAGCAATCTGCATTCGCCAACTTTCTCAAACTTATCGGTAATATTACGATAATGTACCATTATGATCTGAATCGTAGAACCTGGGTAGAATGCGATGCCAGTCACAGTGGTTTGGGAGCTGCTCTCGAACAAGAGATAGGGTGAGAGATATGGGCGCCGATAGTCTTTCCTTCCCGGTTTCTCAATGATCAAGTGAAAAATACTAGCACCAAAGGACTGGAATTACTCGCCATCGTATGGTCCTTTGAAAATTTCCGAAAATGTTTGTTGGGTAAATACTTCGAAGTTTTAACACCAAGAAGCGATAATATTGGCTTTAGAGACCAATAGGGGTATGAAGACCTATCAATCTCGTCTAACCGGTTGGGCAGATCGTCCATTACTATTTGATTTCGCCGTTATTCTTATCTCTGGAAGCAAATTAGGAATGGTCGATTACTTATCTCGTTATCCAACATTCGAAGCGACTTTTATCCAACAGTTTTGACGAGCAATATGCGGTTAAATGTATTAGCCGATTCCTTGATACGCGTGATTTTTTGACCGCTGAGTTCAGAATTTTCCAGCTACAACCGAGTAGGCAGATATTTCAAGGAATTCCGGGGTGATGTCTAACCCTTCTAAAAGTCATATTTAGAAAAGAGTTCAATCACTCCCGTTAATTTAGTTTCTTTGTTCAAACAATGCTTTTGTTGGGACGTGTCACCTAACGCTATAAGAAACAACCAATCAGATTTTGGCTCTAATTGGGTTAGTTGGCCGCTGGAGGGCGGCAATTCACGTGTCATTCCTTCAGTCAATAATTGCAACAGTATACCATTTCTGTCGCTGCAAGAATGCGGTCATTCTAATGACAACTATTCTGACCAATCAGAGCGCAGACGGCGTTCTAATTTATGCACATCCTATTGACCAATCCCAGATCAGCGTAATCAATTAGTTCACAAATGACAATTTCTCAGCATGTTTCCGAAATCTTTTGCCATTGTGGAATATCAAGTTTGTACTACTCGCAGTTTTCATTTTGTCTTTTCTTAACTATATCTTTTCTGACTATTTAGTTACTGGTTCTGCTAACCTATTATTTTGGGGAACTGTGTTCATTATTTTCATGCTTTTTTCAGAGTAATGAATCAATCGCGTGACGACAGCTTTGAACGGCTACTTAACCAATTTGTCACCCTCAACCGACCTCGGTTTTCTACGAATCGATCGAGACAAAAAGCACGAGCAGGTGCAGTCCGCTCGAGGCGGAAACAACAGACGCTCTGAGGGGTCATTATGCCCGCATCCTCGTTAATTTTTTGTTCGCGTAGGTTGCGAAAGTCTCGTCCAGCCATTCGACCGCAAGAGCAAGTACTTAATTTCGATATCCTCAAGTCATCAATTGTCACTCCAGACCAGAAGTCGCTGTCGGGGCTAGTGGGGATCCTTGAAGCGGACGTGTTGTCAG